CCCCCCCCCAATCCTGGAGCACATGTAAAGATGTCCTATGTTCACAAAGCAGCTGTTGCAAAAAGCTGGACACTCTAAAATTAGGTAAAAGCAACAATCAAGTAGACATTAATAATGACATTAGACCAAAGTATCTTGTAAAGTACTGGGAATCCCCACTACAGATCAGGCATGGCCAATGTGTTCGTTAGCAGATGTGTCAGATGAATAAAAGTGACTTTCAATGTATTTCATAGATTTCATAGACATTAGGGCTGGAAGGGACCTTGTAGGATTATTGGTTCCAGCCCCCTACCCAAGGGGCAGGAAGCCAGCTAGGGTCAAAGGATCCCAGCAAGATAAACATCCAAATGTTTCTTAAAAGTGTCCAGAGTAGGTGCTTGCACCACCTCTGGGGGGAGTCTGTTCCAGGCCTTGGGGGCTCGGACAGTAAAGAAGTTTTTCTTTATGTCCAGCCTAAAATGGTCTTGCAGAAGTTTATGACTGTTGGACCTTGTCATCCCTTGAGGTGCTCTGGTGAACAGGCGTTCCCCCAGATCCTGATGCACACCCCTGATGAGCTTATAGGCTGCCACCAAGTCACCCTTAAGCCTGCGCTTCTCCAGGCTGAAGAGTCCCTTCAGCCTGGAGAAGAGAGGCTGCAGCCTCTCTTCATAAGGCTTGCTCTTTTGCCCTCTGATTATGTGTGTGACTCTCCTCTAGACTCTTTCAAGGTTCTCCATGTCCTTCCTAAATTATGGAGCCCAGAATTGGATGCAGTACCCAGCTGTGGCCTCACCAAGGCCAAGTACAGTGAGAGAATGACATCCTAGGTCTTGCTTGAGATGCATCGGTAGATGCAAGCCAGAGTCTTGTTCACTTTGCCAGCTGTAGTATCACATTGGTGGCTCATGTTCATCTTGTGGTCAATCATGACCCCCAAGGCTGTTTTGGTCATGGTGCTAGCAAGTGTAGCACTGCCAAATCTGTAAGTATGATGTGGGGTTTTTTTCTCCCCAAGATGGAACACCTTGCATTTCTCCATATTGAATGCCATCAGGTTTTCATCCACCCACCTTGCAAGCCTATCAAGGTTGGCCTGGATCACCAGACTATCCTCAAGTGTGGAGACTCTTCCCTAAAGTTTGGTGTCATCAGCGAACTTAGCCAGTCCACTTCTGACACCAGTGTCCAGATTGTTTATGAAAACATTAAAGAGTACAGGTCCAAGAACAGAGCCTTGGGGGGCACCACTAGTCACTGAGTGCCATGATGATTCAGTTCCATCAACCACCACTCTCTGGGTCCAACCTCGGAGCCAGTTCCCCAGCCATTGGACTGTGGGGTAGTTGAGGCTGCAGTTGCCCAATTTTTCCATGAGGTCATCACAGGACACCAGGTCAAAGGCTTTTTAAAAGTCCATATATATGATATCAACCTCTTCCCTTTTGTTCAGGTGATATGTCACCTGGTCGTAGAAGGAAATGAGGTTGGTCAGGCAAGACCTACTCACAACAAACCCATCCTGGCTTCCTTCAGAATGTTGCCTTCTGTAAGCCTGTCAAGAATGGTTTCTTTGATTATTTTTTTCCAAAATCTTCCCAGGGATTGAGGTTAAACTGACTGGCCTATAGTTTCCCAGGTCGTCTTTTCTCCCTTTCTTGAAGATGGGCAACACATTGGCCCTCTTTCAATCTTCAGGTTACTTTGCCTGAGTGCCATGAGTACTTGAATATCCTTGCCAGTGGCTGTGCTATGATGTCTGCCAGTTCCTTTAGCACTCTTGGGTGCAGTCTATCCAGACCAGCTGATTTGTGGGGGTCCAGCCTTTCGAGATGCTTCCTCACTCTGGTTATCCCACATCATGTTCGGCAGGGTGGTCCCTTTGGGCTGGTGGAAAAACCTACGCAAAGTAATCATTAAGCAGATTGGCTTTTTCCTGGGTGTCGGTAGTCAGCTGCCCCAGCTGCATTTAGCAGGGGTCCAATGTTGCCCTTGTTTTTCTTTTGACTCCCCACATATCTGAACAAGGACTTTTTATTGTCCTTGATTTGTGTAGCCAGTTGGAGTTCAGTTGCAGCCTTAGCTTTCCTAGTTTGCTCCCTGCAGGTGCTGACCAGTGCAGAATACTCCTCCTTAGTGGCGTTTCCTGTCTTCCATCTTTTATAAGCCTCTCTTTTTAGATGAGTTCCCTGTTGAGCCAAGGGGGTTGTTGAACCCTTTTACCACTTTTCCTACAGGTTGGGATAGACTCCCCTTGTGCTTCTAGGATCGCTTCCTTAAGGAGCAACCACTCATCAATCATGAACTCCCCTCCCTGTGAAATCATGGCCTCTCAGGGCCTCAAGAACAAGCCTCCTGAGCTTATGAAAGTCAGCTTTCCTAAAGTCAAGGACTACTGCATTGCTGGCTGACTTGCCAGCTTTGCGATGGATAGTGAAAGTGATGAACTTGTGGTTACTGTCACCTAGCTTCCCTTCGATTCTTAGGTTGCTGATGAGATAGATCATCCCCTTTGGCCAGTACCGGGTCCAGCAGCACCTTACCTTTTGTTGGCTCATAAACTTATGACAGGTAGAGTTTATCCATGCATGCAAGGAGCTTTGAGACCGATTGGATTTGACTGAGTGCTCATCCCATGAGCTGTGTGGGTAGTCGAAGTCTCCCATGACAACCATGCACTGAGAGCGTGCAGCCTTGGCCAGTTCCCTGGTGAATTCTTGGTCAAGCTCTTGTTCCTGATTTGGTGGTCTGTAGTAGACTCCTACCATTGTATCCCCTTCACCATGTTTCCCTCATATTCTAACCCAAAGGGTCTCCAATTGTCCTCCTTGGATGCCAATATCAGCTTGTAGGGATGTGTAGCTCTCCTTCACATAGAGAACTACACCCCTACCCCTTTTTTCAGCATACCCTCTCCTGTACAGGCTATAGCCATTTATACCTGTAGTCCAGTCATAAGAGGAGTCCAGCTAGGTCTCTGTTATCCCTATGAGATTGTAGTCATTTTTGTTTAGCAGAAGGACCAGTTCCTCCTGTTTATTCCCCAAACTCCTAGCATTAGTGTACAGGCAAGTAAGTATGCCACTGGAGGCCCTAGGCTTCCTTGAACTCATGGGGAAGCTCTATTCCTGGCTTGGGGTAGGAGTGGGTTCCCTTGAACATCCTAACCTGCTGATTTTGCGGTTGATGCTTGGTGAACTCACTCTGGTGGTTGTCTACCCATCCCCTGGCGAGCTTAGTTTAAAGCCCAGTTGAGCAGGTCAGCCATTCTGGCTGAGAAGAGCTTTTTCCCCAGTGGAGTGAGGTGGAGGCCATCTCTTCCCATGTGGTGAAGTTATTAAGATCGGAAGAACAAGGGGCTCCATGTTCTAGCACCACATATACAGAAATCCCTGCCAGTTAACTGTAAGAGGAAGGAGGAAGTGCTAAGGATACCCTGTCTACATTTACAATATACTTCATCTGATGAATTTGTATAACATTTTAACACTTTTCTGGCAAGATCTGTACTGTTACAAGCTACTGCAGACCTTCCACTCTGTTTAAAAACCAAATTAATTATCCTATGAAAACTAGCAGTCCTAAAGTTCCTAATTCTGTGTGTGAGTTTACCTATGGTATGTCTTTCCATACAGAGAGATTGCAGTTCGAGATTCAGGCCCTGAAGACAGTCTGGAGCAGAATACTTTCAGTCGGTGAGAAGTGGTTTCACTTGACTAAATTTCTTAATTCTGCACATATCTCTTTGAGAGTCACTTTATATAACATAAAAGAATTGGTTATCTTATATGATTCCTGATCTTAATGTTGTATTATACACTAAACACTTAAAATATATGTCTTAAGAACGGCATAATAAACCTGATTGGTCAAATTATTCCTGTTGTGTACCCTGTACAGGTCCCATTAAATTCCGTAGTATTACAACAGGACGGAGTTAGGTCCATTAAAGCAAATGTGTGGCATTATGGGAAAACTGTCATGTTATTTAAACTATTTTGTTAGAGTAGACAGGTAGCTTTTATATTCCATGTCCTTCCATAACCTCACAATAAGCTAAAGTTCTGATTTTCAGACGTACCTATTTTCTTGCATATAACACACCTGTATATAATACACACTTTGATTTTGAAAGGGAGCTTGAAGGAAAAAAAAAGATCTTCAATTGAGGTAAATGAGGGACAGCACCTAGGGATCTAAGTCTGCTCCTGAGCTTGATGCCAGCCCTATGCACTGGATGGGGCCCACGAAGACTGATCCAGTATGTGGAGTCTAGGGCTGCTGGTCCAGGCCATCCCCATGCACTGGACCAGAGCCATTTGTTGGGTCCAATTTTATGAGCCAATTCTGGGACTGTGTGCTGGGGCTGGGGCCACCCACTGGGTCTGGGGCCACCCACTCACTCTAGAGACATTTGCCAGGTCCAACCCCACACATGTCCCCAGAGCCAGTGTCTGACTTGACATATGGTTGGGTAGGGAGGTTCCCCACAAATTTGGAATTTTGGTGTCAGGGAAGCTCCCAGAGCTGCAGCAATTAATGCTGCCACCACTCTCCTTCCACCACCTCACCAAATTTCTAGACTGGTGGGGTTCCTTTTTCCTTATACATTGTGAGCACCCCAATTTTCCCCAACTAGTTTGGAGGTGGGGGTGGGGGAGGAGGTGTGGGTTGTATGCAAGAAAATATGGTAATGCGTACTTAGAAATTCCTTTCGGGTCAGTGGAGTACTGCATTTTTGAAAATCAGGCCACTAATGCATTAGCAGCCAGAAGGAGAAACCCAACAAATTGAGAGAATGATTAAACATGAAACAATTTCTAGAAATCTCTTTAGGTCCAGATTCTGATACCCCTCTGGATATAGGGTACCACTTTATTCTGCACGTGGACATTTTGCTTTCAAAGGGTACCCTTTGCAGAGTAAGATATTTCTCAACATGGGTTAGGTTACTAGAATCCTTCCTAAATTAGAGAAAAAACAAGGCAGGAAATTTTCTTCCAAATAAAACAATTTATAACTAAATCAAATAATAGGGTTTGCTGATGCTGTTTTCCAATGACTAATTGACAGGCACATAATAATTTCCAGCATACAGGTTTCCCTCAATTTATGCGGTACATGCATTCCTGGAGAATGCCGCATAAATCAAATTTGCATGAAGCAGGAATAACTTTATAATGTAAGAAATAGGGATAGGTTCCCCTGTCGACTTCTCCCGGTGCCAGCTGGGGTGAATGTGAACAAGCAGAGCCCCGGGTGATGCAGGGCACGACACTCACCTCAGCCCCAGCTGCAGCGGCCCTGGGAGCTGCCAGCACCAGCTGCCAGCAGCCACTGGGCTGCATCGTGCCTTGAACCCCCTGGGGCTCTGCCTGTTCCCACTTACCCCAGCTCCTGCTGCAGCTGTCCCAGGAGTGGCCAATGCCAGCTCCCTAGGCTGCTGGGCTGTACCATGTCTTAGTGCAGGCAGCTGGTGCTGGCTGTTCCCGGGGCCGCTGCAGCCGAGGCTGGGGTGGAGACAGGCAGAGCGTGGGAAAGAGCCTGGAGCCCCTGAGCCTGCAGCCGCTGCCAGCCCCAGCTTGCTCGCATCTGGCTGCAGGCAGCTGCTCGACCCTGCTGCAGACCTGGGAGCAGTGGACACAGCCTACTTGCAGCTGCTGGGCTCTGCTTTGTGGTGGGGTTTGGGGCTCCACTTCCCCTGGGGCATCATGCC